CATGAGTTTTAGAGGGGATACAAACATCCAAACCATAGCACTTTTTGTTGTTTTTGTGGTTTTAACCAGAGACTATAAGGGAGGAGATTAGATGGTACAGTGAGCGGTAGAGGTTGGGTGTGAGGTTCAAAGGGAGGAAACATTTAAAAGACAAAAAGTTCTCTGTTGAAAAAAAAGTATTGTATACATCATGATGGGGACATCATGTAAAATGTAAAATTAATCTGAAAATTAAAACAGAATTTAAACCATACCACTCATTAAAAGTGCTTGTTGAACAGTCAGGCTCTATTCTAGGCTCTGGGAATGGAATATTAGGTCAGAAGAAAGCTACCTTATTCTCGGCTGGTAGTTATGACAGGAGTACAAATAAAGGTCTAAGTCTTTATGAAAGATCAGAAGAGGGAGAAATGAATTTCTTTAGACATGATCAGAAGAAGCATTAAGGGAAATGTGACGATTTCTGTGGATTTTAAGTGAGTAGAAGTTCAACAGGAACAACTGGGGAGAAAGGGTACTTCAGCACAAATGAAATGGAATTATTTGGTTTTGTTCTAATCTTGGGTTTCTATTGGCATTTGGAAGTTCCACAGTTAAGGTTACCATTTGCTTGAAATTTTGGATTATTGATTTCTTTTCAAAAATGAGTTTTTTCAGAGCCAGCAGATGGTGTAGTGGTTATGTTGCTGACTCCCGCATGGCTGACCATGGTTTGAGTCCCAGATCGGTGGCTTGAAAATCATGCTGGGTGCATGTGCGTGTGTGCCCAAGATCCTGGGAGGAGAATGGAGAAGGGCTTGCGGTGTGGCCAGCCTCCCTTGGGGTGTTTTCTCACTTTTCCTTTCACTGACTCTGTCTCTCTGTCTCTCTCTCTCTAGTGAGTGCAAGTGCCCTAAACCAAAAACCTCTTAAAAAATGAGTTTGTGTCTTAATATTAGACATAATTTTCTTGTAATCTTCTAATTTTTTTCTCAGTTTCTTTAGTTGATCTAGACATAGACATTTTACAGTTGATTTGTACATATTTGGCGTCTCGAAAGACAGTTACAAGAATTTTCTTCTTTATGGTCCTTTTTCTTTTTCTTTTTCTTTTTTTTTTTTATCAAGAACCAATGAGCTTAGATGGATACAAATGACAAATGTCCCCAGTGGACTTTAAAGTACTTGGCCAACTTACTTGCCCCAAATGACTCTTAAGTGTTCTACACTTATGGTTGCCCCTGAATACTTGAGACAGGAACTTCCTAGCAGTTAAACAAGACAATATACAGGACATTTCCAAAATGTGTTTGTTGGGATGGTTTCCCACTCATCCTTTTAGCGCTGCTTCCTCCTGAAGGAACATCCTTCTGTCAGCCTCGCTTTTCCTCCTATAGGCTGGCAGAGTACGTGGAGCAGCCAACGCACAAAACAGCGACAAACGCACAAAACTTCCGTTTGTGTATGGCTAGCGACTGTGGTGGTTTATAGCATCCTGGGCACGTCCATGAAATAGGTTGGGCTCTGAACCAGGCACTTCCTGTGTTTTCTCTTCTCCTCTTCTGGAGAGGGATGAAGGAGGTCCTTTGCGAGAGGCGTGTTCTCGTGGGGAGGTCTTCACTGCCGGAAGGCTTTTTTTTTTGGAGAGGTTTTTGCTATAGGGTGTGTGCGCTCGCCAGAAAGACAGAGGAAGACAGCGACAGAAAACAAGAAATCACCCCCCAGGGGGGATGGCCACGCCGCAATCCCTTCTCCTCCATTTTCCTCTGGGGATCTTGGGCACGCACACACACGCACCTGGTGTGAGTTTAAGTCACTTGGGTCTAGACTTGAACTGCAGTCAACTACATGGGAGTCCAGCGATATAGCCAGTAGTATGCCAACTGCTGGTCCCGTGTGGTTCTTTTTCTTTATAATTTTATGTGTGTATTTGCTTCAGTGTCTGAGTGCTCACAGTAGAGGTCTTCGACCTCGGCTGCACATTGGAGTCACCTGAATAGCTTTAGAAATGGCTGGGTTCCACCTGGTTCTTGAGTGTAGACTGAGTACCAGGTGGGAGGGGGGCTTCCAATCTCTTCAGTGATTCAATTTTGCAGCCACCATTGAAGCCTTGGCTTAAAGTACAGTGTTTTGGGAGTACTGAAATACACTTTCTGTGCTTGTAAAGTAGGTAACTGGCTTTGCTGAGTGGTGTGGAAATCTGTCTTGTCAAATCTCTTGCTTAGAGTATAGTGAAATAATTAGAATTAGGATGATAGAATGAAGTCATTGAGTTTGTTAAAGCACTTTCACTAACCATAAATGGAATTAAGTAAAGCATATATATGAATAGGATAATTTTAAAGATTTTAAGTTGGTGTGTGGATGGGGGAAGAGATAAAAGTTGTTTTTTTTTTTTTAACTCTACACATAAAAGTTGTTTGATGCATTATATAGGTCAGAAATGAAAAAAAATCTGTTTTTAGAGTCTCAGGCAAACATTGTTTTTAAACTCTTGTTGACTTTGTCACCTACTTTTAATGTAATAAGTACTCTGTTACTGTAAAAAGAACCTTTGTTTACTCCAGTAACAAGATGTTGGACAAGAACTTGTAAACTCTGAGAGCCTCCAGAAAGAAAAAGAACTGAACGTTAGTCTATGCCTCTCTTTCACTGTAAGCAGTGATCTATTAATAGTTTGTTGTCAACTTGGAAAGAGGAGGTGAGATCAGTACAGAGATGTTTACTGTGATTTTGCTGCTTGGTTTGAAGTATAGTTAATTTCTAGAATATAGCCACATCTTGCAAATAGTGCAGTAGGATTGCAAATTTCATGTTTGTCTATGTAGCACATTAGCATGGTGTCCAAAAATAGCACACCTCAATGAATTGAATGATCAGATAGAATTGGGTTTCAAGTCTAGGTTTCCTGTTTCTAAACTGTGTTACATTGAATTATTTAACTTATCTTGCCTTAGTTTCCGTATCATGAAAATAGAGTGAAATGATACCTAAGTTCAAGATTTGTTAATAAGATAATTTTTTGGGGGGGGGATTTTTTTCTATAGGGCCCATGCGCTCACCAGAGAGACATAGGGAGAGACAGAGAGACAGAAAGCGAGAAATCATCCCCCAGTGGGGATGGCCATGCCACATTCCCTTCTCCTCCAGTCTCCTTTTGGAATTTTGGGCACTCAGGCACATGGTACCTGGGGTGAGTTTTAAGCCGCCGGATCTGAGACTTGAACCATGGTTGACTACATGGGAGTTAGCGACATAACCATTCCAGCATCTGCTGGTCCTGGATAAAATGTTTTCATTGTTTATCACAGTCTGCCCACAGTTGGTCTGTAATAAATCATGGTTCTCTAGTCTTGATATTAAATTATATCAGAGAATGATTTTGGTCGATACAGCTGAGAAAAAAAAATGAAGCTCTAAATTATCTTAATAATGAATTTTATTATTAACAATGGATATTGGGGTTAATATATGAGAGTTGTTTTATGTAGATACGTTTCTGGAGATTTCTGAATTCCTGATAAACCCAATAATCTCCTGATAAAGGTGTTGATAACATATCTTTATCACAATAGGTTTTATAATTTTCCATTGTGTTTAGAGACATTTTACAGGAATTCACAGGTTCTTACAATCTGAAAGGAGAAATTAGAAAATGGGCAGTACAGTAGTGCTAGGCCCTAAATGCCTGCGTTCATGGTTCTTACATACACGATGAAAACATAAAGTAAGTGTACTGTAGGCCAGGTTGAGAAAATAGCCAAGCCACATTAGTTCATTCATTAGGAAATGTTTATTATGTTCCTCTGGATGCCAGTAACTTTCCCTTCCTTTTCCTGCTCTTTAAAATTATTCACATTTTTAAAGACACAATTCAGATATGATCTACTTTAAAAAGTAACTCCCCTCTACTCCCTTATAAGGGAATCACTTCTCTGTGTTCTCTCAACATGAGACCTTTACCTGGCCCTTATTTCCCTGTGTCACATTAAAAGCAGTGCTGCAGCTGTTTCAGGCATTGGGTTGAAAGTTGTATGAGTTCTTGGTTAAAGGACTCTGGCTTTGGCATCAGGAAGTTGTCTTTTTTGTTTTGTTTTGTTTTAAATTTATTTCTTTCTTCCAAGAGGGTGGGAGGGAGGAAGAGAGGAAAAAAGAGAGAGAGGCCCCCACATGGAGTCCTAGGGCACAGTCCACTCGATCTCAGCCAGCCTGGAATATGGACACACGCATACATGCACCTGGCAGGTTTAGGGAGGCCCACAAACCTAGGACTTTTCCCATGTGTGTCCAGCTGCATCACCACTGTGCCACCACCTGTCCCTATCCTTATTTGAATCTCCACTTTGTCACTTACTTTCCTTGTAAAGACAAAAAATTTTCTGTCCTTTCTGAATTCAATTCACTTATCTATAAGATGGAGGTTAAAACACTTCTACCTGGGACCAGCAGTTGGCGTAATGGCTATGTCGCTGGACTCCCATGTAGTCAACTGCGATTCGAGTCCTGGACTTAAACTCATGCCAGGTGCGTGTGCGTGCGTGCCCAAGATCCCGAGAGGAGAATGGAGGAGAAGGGATTGCGGCATGGTCATCCCCCCTGGGGGGTGATTTCTCACTTTCTGTCTCTCTCTCTGTCTTTCTGGCGCGCGCATGTGCTCTATAGCAAAAATCTCCAACAGAAAAAAAAGAACACTTCTATCTAACAAGTTTATTGAAAGAGTAAGTGGCATGAATATCTAAGTACATTTAGTAAGCAGTAATGAATATTGTTGTTAGTATTGTTTGTGTATGGTATGTTATTTATCATATGTAAATACAATACATGACTTAATGAAATTGTCTCCTTCACTACATCATGCTTTTTTCAGGACAGAAAACCAACACTTGGCATTTTGCATAGTATAATAAATTAACAAATATCAGTCAACTGAGCACATTAGCCTTAACATTTACTTATTTTTAAAAAGAAGAGTATTGGCATAGATGAATAAAATTTGACTAAAGTTGCTTTGTAAATGACTTTGCCTTAAAATCCCTGCAGGTATCTCCTTATCCCATAACTTAAGTGTCCTGAAATCTGAGGATTCCACCAATGTAATATGATAGGAACTTTCAGTGATTTGGAGCCATATCCTACCTAGACTAATGCAGGACTTGCAGATTTCCTGAGAGCTTGGTACAGTGGCACACACCGAAGCGAATCCACACGGGCAATAATGCCATCTCTGCCTCAAGAAGGAGGTAAGCAGGTTGACTTAACCATGTTGCAAAGTATGGGTGAGTTACAGGTCACTACTGCTAGTTTTCTTAAAATATAAAAATTAATTGGGAACCTTTAAAGTACAAGAATTTATAATTTTATCGTGTTTTGGGGCATTTGTGTTCTCTGGTGTGAATGTTTTTGTTACTTCAGTAATATTTGGTTGTTTTATGGTTCTTTTAAAGTTATTCAGGCACCCTCTCCCCTGGATTTGAATACAGAATTACCTTATGAAAGCACAATGAAAAGGAAAGTCAGAAAGAAGAAAAAGAAAGGAACCATTACAGCAAATGTTGCTGGGACAAAATTTGAAATCGGTAGGTCTCTTCAGATCATAGGATGTTCATCATTGGTGGAAAAACTGGTTTGATGTTGAAAACAATGGAGAAATGGAGAGAGATGACGATCTTTTAGTAATGGATTTTAAATTGCCTTCTATTAAAATTTCTGACATGTCAGAATTCCACTTGTATGCAGTCAAGGATGATGTCCTTAAAAAGATGCCAATTGATTTCTAAAATTTCAGTTCAAACAAAAATATGAATAAATAGCTTGACTGAAGGAAAGTGGTAGTTAATACTTGATACCATATTTTTCTTTGAAGTTCTACTTTGTTAGCGTCTGAGCTTTGACTTTTTCTTTCTTTGTTTTATTTATTTTTTTTTGAGAGTTTTTCGCTATAGGGAGCATGCGCTCGCCAGACACACAGAAAGAGACATAGAGACAGAAAGCGAGAAATCACCCCCCAGGGGGAATGGTCACGCCGCAATCCCTTCTCCTCCATTCTCCTCTCGGGATCTTGGGCACGCATGCAAACGCGCCCGGCGTGAGTTTAAGCCACCAGGTCTGGGACGCGAACCACGGTTGACTACGTGGGAGTCCAGCGACATAGCCATTACGCTAATTGCTGGTTCCCTGAGCTTTGACTTTTGTAATGAATTTATATTTATCTTATCTTACACATTTGATTTTGTGAATGTAAAGAAAGACTGGATCTCTTCTACTATTCCAGATGTGCCCAGCCTCCCCAGTTCATGTATACATCAATATCCAGACTTAGGTAGATTGGTACACTCCATCCCTCCACAGCTGCCAGGAATTCCATTGATCTCATCAAGGTCTTCCCATAGAACTGCCTCTCCTCTACCAGAAACAGTTCTGCTGCTGAGCTGCTGTTCTGACTGTCATGGTTTTCAGCTTCTGAGCATTTACTCCCAACTCTGGTGTTTGCATATTGCTACCTGGATAAGCCCAGGTTTCACCAAGCCTTATAGAAAACAACTTCACCTCAACAATCAGCCTCCTTAGTCACTGTCCTCTTGTGTATCCAGGCACAATTGCATTAAGAAGTTCTTGCTTTTTCTTCAGCCAAAACTGTAATGAATAGCCTCTAGAACTTAAGACCAACAGCTATCTGGTTTTCAGTTTTCTAGTTGAGCTGTCTTCCAGACAGTTGAGTCCATTTCTCCTCATACATAGGCTGTAGTAAAAAGAAAACACTTAAAAATAAAACACTGAAGTACTGTTATGTAGATAAAACATTCTGTTCAGACTCAGAATTCCATTGGGACTCAAAAATTATTCTAAATATTTTGCTTATCTTTATTCTAAACTTCAAATTCACTGGAAGAAAAGCTTTTTTGTCTTTTCTCTTTTGTTAAATTGCCCAGGGCATATGTCCTCACTAGAGAGTGATAGAGAGATAGAGAGACAGAGAGACAGAGAGAGAGGGAAGAAGGAGGAGGAAGAGAAGGAAGGGGAGGAGGAGGGAGAGGAGTAGGGGAAGGAGGAGAAGGAGGAGGAGGAGAAAGCACTTTCCCATGGGGTGCAGTTACACTGCAATCCCTTTTTCATTCTATCAGAATTTTGGGCATGCACACATGCCTGACTGGGATTTAAGCCATGCATTCATTAAGACAAGCTATGTGGGATCTAGTGCCCTTAACCACTGGGCCATAGGACTGTACCAGAAGAAAAATGTTAATAAAAAATAGTTTGTACTAAAATAGAAGCTTTCCTCTGAGCATAAACATTTTTAGTAGGATTAGGGGGTTGGGAGAAAAGGAGGGCCAATATCTGAATCTCTTCTGTGAGCTCTGCTTCATTTCTTCATGCCCTGAGAAATGTAGATGACTTGGTTTTTAAGTGCTAAAAATAATTTGAACTAGAGAGGTGGAAAGTATAGGATGGGTTGGGTGATCAGGGACTATATTTACCTTTGCCCTTTTGTATGTAACCCAATGTCACAAAAAAGCTGTAAAAGCACTTTTTCCTGTGTAAAAGTGTCATCTCAGCTGTGTATGCATTTTCATTGTGCCATAAATAATCATTAAACACTTTGGCAGTTTTTTGTACCTGTTAAATCCGAGAGGATGGAAACTAGGTATTTGGAGTATACCTAAAATCAGTTCTTAGTTACTGTTGAGTAATTTGGTCCTACATAAAACTTTAAACTAAAAATAAAGTTATGCAATACTAATGGGTGTTTTGCAAAAGAAGTTCTATGAAGGAATATAATATATATTACATTTATATATAATATATATTTTTATATATAAAATATATATACACACTCATATATATCTATACACACACACACACACACACACACACACATATATATCTATATACACACACAGACATATGTCCACAGTGAATCTATTTCAGAAGTAATTTAATTTGACTTAACTGTTTACTTACAGTTCGTTTAGTAATAGATGAAATGGGATTTATGAAAACTCCAGATGAGGATGGAACAAGTAACCTTATATGGTGTGATTCTGCTGTTCAAGAAAATCCAAAAGACTGTACCAAAATGTAAGATCGCAGAGCTACAGAATTACCAGGTGGGAAATTAATCATGACCAATTACTGGTATAAGGGAAGTTTTATGATTGCTATCGTAATTCTCTTTAAATAGGCTCTTAATCTGTTGACATACCAAATTTCATTTCTAATTCACCTGGATAGCCTGTTTTTTGTTATCCAATTGAAGTGACTCTCCTCACAAAGTCTGTATTCTTTCCAAACTTAACTTTTAACCTCTTTTTATCTTTAAGGAAGAATTGATAGGAAAAGAAAACACAAACTCTTTTAAAGATCGTGCTTTGTATTATATTTAAACATCAGTGCTGTGGAATAGATTACAGGGAGATCAGGATGAAGAAATACCTTGTAATGTCATGTAATTGTAAACTGGCTTCATTTTTCTGTTTTTAGAATGTAGTACAAATTTATATTCCCAAGAAAACGTCATCAAACTAAAAACCCAAATCAAGGAATTTGAGACAATTGACATCTTAATAGTTTAGTGTCTATTCATCTACTAGTTTATTCATCTATTAGTTTAGAGGAAAATACAAAATTGATGACAGAGAGCAAAATAAATCTATCTTCATCAATTTTTCTACAATGCCTATGTGTATTAATATAGTAAATCTAGAATACCACAAAGAATTTGGAAATAGAATTACCACTTATTTGGGACCAAAAATTATAATTGTACCATCTATGTAAGCAATCTTTTCTGATTTCTTTATAGTTTTTCAGTTTTATTTTCTGATTACCATAGATGTTTTAATTCCACTAATTTATTGTAAGCCATTTAATTTAAAATGTTTTTACATTAATAATTTTCAGTTTATTAAAACATAAAACTCAAAGGATGGATATAACTATATTATAATATAAATGAATATACTCATTAAGCTAATGAGAATATTAATATTTACCTTTTTGTTTTTCAGAGAATCAACCATTTTCCAGGAATGGGGGAGATTTGTAGAAAGGATTTCTTAGCAAGAAATATGACCAAGTAATCTTTATTTTCTTGTAATATAGAAGACCTGTTCAAAATTTACATAATGAATATTGTAGTGCTGTTTTTCACAAGGTTACAAGACTTGGAATGACATTTGGGTAGACTATTAGAGCTAGAAATATCTTACAAGTTCCCTGGTTCTAGTCTTTCACTTTGCAGAGGAGGTGCCGGAGGTTCACAGAACTAAACAGCATGCACAAAGTAAAATAGCTAATAGCAGAGCTGGGTCAGAACCCCAGTCTCCAGAATCTCAGCACTCTATTGCAACTCACTTTTTATAACAGAAGTTTTTCTTTCAAATGTAGAGAGTTAATTATATGTGGCATTCAGTAGATAATTTTTTATTTTCAGGTAAATCTTGTAGGAACTAATGTTGCATTATATGCCATATGTATGTGTATGTGTTCGTATTAGTTTTTGAGCATCTAATAAGTGCCAGACACTGTACTAGGTGCATGTGTAAATATATACACATAGATACATGTACACATGTTCACCTGGGAATATATATGCACATATATTTATGTCAAGGCCCATATTTAGAGTAACAGTCTGTATTCATGGGAAAAACTGTTGACATGTACTCAAGTGTTTTATTAAATGAACTGTTGAAATTTTTTATGAATTTCATATTTCTGTTGGAAAGGGTTTTTTTGTTTGTTTAAGGTTGAATGATAAGCTGAAGCCATTTTTTGAAAGTAGTCTCTTCATTTACAAAGTTTAGTAGCTTTGTATGTATAATTAAAGAAATATTAGTATACTTCCATATGGACAGTTATAATTATGCATCTATACGCTCAACAAATATTTTTTGTTTTTTCTACGCTAATCTTTAAATATACAGGATAAACAAGACCCAGTCTCTGCCCAGAACTCCTATTTTAGTAAGGGTGAGACTAAAAAAAAAGATACGGCTTAATGATGCCTCATTAGAGATAGGGCCAATCCATGGTGGTGACAAAGATGGTGGAAAAGATCATTTTGGGGAGGCCAGGAAGGCTTTATGGAGAAGACAAAATGTGAAGTGAATTTTATATAGGAGTTCACCTTCTGAGAAGAAGATAAGGAGATTGTAGACAGAAACAAAAATGGGAGAAAATATTGGGTCATTGGAAAGTCATGATAAATTTTGCATAGAAAAATAGAAATATACATCATGAGTTTCCTGATGACCTATTATCTTAATATATACAGAGGCAGGAACCAACACATTTGGGGATCATTGAGCAGTTTCTGTGGTTAGAAATGACGTTGAGAGGCTCAACCTGAGATGATGCTGGAGATATATAAAAAGACCAGTCTATATTATCCATTCATTTCTTTATTTATCCAATAAACATTTATTTATCTTGAGAGAAGTGAGACATTATTTAATCTGTGTTTAAGTAGAAAAAGAAAATATTTTTAAAGATTGTGCTGGCTTTGTGGATAATGAATTGAATAAAGATAGGACTAGAGAGGAAAAGCCCTGCAAGAAGATGATTGTCAACATATGGGTGAGAAATAAGGCACCTATAAACCAAAAGATGGTAATGGGAATGGGGAAGTACATTTAAAAAATATTGGTAAGACTTGAGATCTGCTGTGATGTGAGAATGACAGTTGGAGAGAGGAATATTTCCCCAGATGCTTTTCTGATTTAGGATACTATGTAGGTAGTGTGATTTTTTTTTTTTTTGAAATGTTTTTGCTATAGGGCGTGTGCGCTCGCCAGACAGACAGAGAGAGATAGAAAGTGAGAAATCACCTCCCAGGGGGGATGGCCATGCTGCAATCCCTTCTCCATTCTCCTCACGGGATCTTGGGCACGCATACACACGTGCCCAGCGTGAGTTTTAAGTCACCAGGTCTGAGACGTAAACCGTGGTCGACTATGTGGGAGTCCAGCGACATAGCCATTATACTAACTGCTGGTCCCCTGGTAGTATGATTTATTGACATAGGGATTACAAAGAGAAGAATGGACCTCAGAGGAAAGAGAACCACCTCTGTAAAGTTTTGGACATGTGCCTCATTTGTCATGTAACATACATTAAATACCTACTATATGTCAGGCACAGTGCTGGGCTCAGGCCCATGAGTTGATCAAAAGCAGACTTAGGGTTCCTACAATGTTCAATTGCAACTATGAGGAGGGCTATGAAGCAGAGGTACCTAGTTCTAAGCCAGTGTGTATGAAGGGACTCTGAGCTAGTCTGGGAGGTATGGGAGAGTTTTTTTGCAGAAGTGGTGTGGAAAACTGATTACCTAAATGGAATAAGGTATGAATATATGTATGCTTGGAGTTTTTCCAAATATGTAAAAAAAATAGTACCATTCATAAATACCACATGGCATTTGAAATATATATTCTAATTAAAACTTTAACTTGATCTAATTTCATATAATTAAAAAATATATAATAAATACATTTAAAGGTATTGGCAACAAAGTTGACATTGGCACTATTACTGTGCTGCCTTTAGTTTTTTTGGTGTGCGTGTGTAAATGTAATTTTCAAACCAGTCATTTTATTGTTTAGCTCATTGCCTTACTTTACACTTGACAGATGGAGCTGGTAATTACTTTATATCTTATGTGGTAATGGAATTTTTTTTACAGGCTTTGAAAGAACACTTGACATAAGATAACCATTTAGGCCTCCAGTTGTAAAAGACAAGTGGTCGATGTATTCCACACCCTAGTCTTAGAATTTAGGCTCTACTTCCATGCATACTTTATACTATGGTTGCATTTTAGTTTTTACCAGTCTTATTTTGGGACAATATCAGCTAATGTATCAAAGACTTGCATATATTTAGAAAAAAAGTCTTTTGTTTTAAACAATCAGATTTTTCTTTAACAGATAATATTTTAAAATCCTTTTCATATTCATTTCTTCATTTTTTCTTGGGAATCACTAAGTAATGTGTAACATTTGGAATTAATCAAAAGTAAACATTTTTGTCTAGCTTTATCCCTAAATTATGTATCAATCAGGTAGCCTAATTTATAGCAAATACAAAAATATAAGGATGTACACTGTAGCTATACAATCACATGCATAGTTAGTTCACAGAAACAAAACCTCTGTTGACTCAGAGGCTTTTACATGGTCCTCTAAGAAAAGTTGTTAACCTCCCAAAATAGTGGCAAAAAAGGCAATCAAAAAATGGTCTTCTGGGTGATCCAGGACTTAAGGTCATCTTGAAAGAAGCAGTATAAATGGCACATGGCCTTAAACGATCCCCTACTCTCTACCCCTCTCCCTGAGACAGAGTTTATGATTCCTTGTGCTTACTACTCTGCTTTATGTGCCTCCAGTACACCTATTACACTATTTTGTACTTAATTGTCTACCTGCAAATTCCGCGGGAACAGGGACTATACTGATTTATCTTGATATCCCGAGCCCTTAGTACATCGTGCATACCCAGATGAATGTTTGATGTACTAATATATAAATGAATACATAGTAGGGCAGATATTTTTTCTGTTTTTTTTTCACTGATGTAGCTATGTCTAAAATAGCGTCTAGCACATAGTAAGGTGCTTAATAGAAATTCATTGAGCAAATCAATAAATGAATAAATAAATGAAGGAATGGAAGAAATTTAAATCTTTGTGGTTAAATATCACTAGCACAGATAAAAGAAAATTTATAAAAATTGGAATAGAGTTTATTTTTCATATTGCTCTGATTTACAGAATGATCAAGTCTCGGCCTCTGGATTATACTTTTGTTCCTCGAACATGGATCTTCCCTGCTGAATATACTCAATTTCAAAACTATGTAAAAGAGCTGAAGAAAAAACGGAAGCAGAAGACTTTTATAGTAAAACCAGCTAATGGTGCAATGGGTCATGGGTAGGTTTATTTTTATCAGAAATATATAAAAATGTTAAAGATGGGGAGGGAATAAGTGTGCACAGTTACTTGTGGTTGAACACCAACATGGAAACAAACAAAAAAAAAGAATAAGTTTCTAATTTGTGCTTTTTTGGAGCTAAATATTTAATGAGCCTCATTCTTTTAACCTGTCTCATAGGCTTTAGTAATTGAATTTTAAAAACTAAGTCAATAGGTGGTGAGAATGTAATAGGAGAAAATAAAATAGAGAATACAAAGTACTAATTTTTTCTTCAGCATAAAACTTGTATTTATAATTTTAATAAGTCTGGAGAGTAAAGTAAGTTGCAACAGTAGAGTTAAATTAACTTGGGGAAACGAATGGTAAGGGAGTTATCCTTTTTATAGCTACAAATCTTGAAGCAAAGTATGTATCTTCTTTGCTTTATAAATAAGTATTTTTCTCTATGTAGCCATGGTAATTGGATTGAAAAATGAGTACAACACATTTTAATCTGAAGTGCCAAGAATGTTAGCTGAGAATAGAATGAGCAACTTAATATTCTTGTTTCTTGTTGCTTGCTTATATTTAGTTTTCTGCAAGGTACTGTTTCAAAGAAATTGAGGCTGAGGCTGCTTTTAACAAATACACTTGAGTCATTTAAATTTTTTGGTTGAAAATGCTACGAGAGGGCCAGCCCTGTAGCCTTGTGTTAAGGCAGCTAGATTTCAGATAGCTGTCATCTGGGTTCCTGTCCTAGGGAAGAATAATGTCAGGTACCTCTGCATGCATGCCCCAAATCCTGACAGGTTGTAGAAGTGGAGGAGAACGGATTGTGGCACGATGATGCGTTATTGGAGGGTACTTTCTCCCTCTCTCTGGTGAGTGTACACACTCTCTGACAATTAAAAAAATGCTGTAAGAAAAGTTATATTTGGAAACGTAGCTACCAGGTAAATGATTGTTCAGAAAATTTCCTTTTCACTTTTAGCCATAACTTAGTAATTCAATCTCACATTATTTTAAAATGCCATCTATTAATTAAAAAAAAAAGAACAAAGAATATTGGTGGTAATTTTTTTCTTCTTTTTCTTTTGGAGAGATTTTTTGCTATAGGGCACATGCGCTCGCCAGAAAGAGATAGAAAGACAGAAAGAGAGAAATCACCCTCCAGGGGGTATGGTCACACCTCATTCCCTTCTCCTCCATTCTCCTCTCGGGATATTGGGCACGCATGCACATGTGCCCGGTGTGAGTTTAAGCTACCAGGTCTGGAACTTGAACCATGGTTGACTACAAGGGAGTCCAGTGACATAGCCATTATGCTAACAGCTGGCCCCATTAGTGGCAATTTCTTACCAATTGCCGAATCTTAAGGTAGCTTCCTATATATTAGTATCAAAGGAAATTTTTGAGGGAGGGTATTTGAATTCAATTCACAATTGAAGCTTTTTTGTTTTTGTATTAAAATTTAATACTAAAATATCATATTTATATATTTATATTTGATGTTAAAGCACTGTAAGTTATAATATTACTATTTCTTTTGACGAAAAATCTAAAAAAATCTTGAAAAAAAGATCAATGAAAGTGCATTCTATGCTGCCAGGATTTATCTTGTGTAATGCAGTAGTATCTAGACACCTCTCTCATCAATTGACTGTATCTATTTCTTGCTAATTTCTGTATAGTCGTTTTTTTCTATGATTAAAAGGTGGGACATTGAAGATTCTGACCATAATTTTGAACTATTTTTTCCTTCAGTTTTATCAGTTATTTGCCTTACATATTTTGGAGCTCTATTTCTACATGCATATATGTTTATAATGATTATATGTTCTTTCGTTGTTCCCCCCCTTTGTTTTTTTTTTTTTTTTTAGATTTTTGTCATAGGTGCATGCACTTGCTGGAGAAGACAGAGACAGAGAGAAAGAAAGTGCAGAAATCACCCTAGGGAGATGGCCACACTTAAATTCTTTCTCCTCCATTCTTATTTTGGGATTTGGGGCATGCATTCATGCACTCAGTGTGATTTTTCCAGCTGCTGGGCCCAGGACTTGAATTGTGATCACCCATGTGGGAATCTAGCACCCCAACCACCACCTTGCCTGATGGCCCCAATGATATATTCTTGGTGTATTGACCTTTTTTTTAACATTATATGTCATTGTTGGTCTCTTGACATAAATTTTTGTCTTAAAATCTGTTTTGTCTTATGTAGTATAGCCACTCCAGATTACTGTTTGTATACATTTTCTTTTCCATTATTCAGCTTCAGCCTATCTGAGGCTTTGGTGCTAAAGGGAATTTCTTGTAGATAGCACATTATTGGACCATGTTTTAAAAAATCCATTCTGCCATATTCAGCCTTTTATTGGAGAGTTTATCTATAAGTACATTTAATGTAATTAATGAAAAGGAACAATTTCTGTCATTTTTCTATATATTTTTACATGTCTTATATAGTTTTTGTTCCTAAATTATCCTCCATTACTGCCCTTTCTGTGTTACATAGATATTTTCTTATGTATCATCTTAAGTCCTTTGCTATTTATTTTACTAAATATTTTAGAATTTTTGAAATGATTTCCCTAATATTATAATTAACATAGTAATTTATAATAATCTAGTTCATATTAATACCATTTTGTTTCAGTAGCATACAAAAACTTTGTTCCTGTATAGCTCCAATCCCTTTATGTTGTTACTGTTTCAAATTCTAGCTCCCTACATTCTGTGTCCATCAGCACAGATTTATAACTTTTTTTTTTTGGAGAGGTTTCTGCTACAGGGCACGTGTGCTCACCAGAAAGACACAGAGAGACAGAGAGACAAAAAGTGAGAATTCACCCCCCCATGGGGGATGGCCACGCCGCAATCCCTTTTCCTCCATTCTCTAGGGATCTTGGGCATGCATGCACACGCGCCCAGCCTGAGTTTAAGCTACTGGATCTGGGACTCGAACTGCAGTCGACTTCATGGGAGTTCAGTGACATAGCCATTATGCTAACTGCTGGTCCCATATAACTATTGTTTTATGCAATTATCTTTTATTTCATTAGGCAAAATGAGAGTTATAAACCAAAACCACACTGATAGTGGCTTTTATATCTACCAATGTAGTCATCTTTCTAGTATTCTTTGACAGTTTGGTTATAAGGTGTCTTGTAGATCTCTGAATTCATCCTACTTGTAGTTGATTAAACTTTGTGGATGTAAATTAATCTTTTTCATCCATTGGGAAGTTTTCTATTATTTCTTCCTGTATTCTTTTGAGTTTTTTCTGTTTTATCTTCTGAGACTTGTATTATGTGTATGTTGGTAGGTGTGATGTTGTCCTACAGGTTTCTTAGGTTCTATTGAGTTTTTTTGTTTTTTTTTTTTTTGAGAGGTTTTTGTATAGGGCATGTACACTCACCAGAGACAGAGACATAGAGAGAGAGAGAAAGTGAGAAATCACCCCCCAGGGGGATGGCCACACCACAATCCCTTCTCCCCATTCTCCTCTTGGGGTCTTGGGCACACATGCACATGTGCCCAGTGTGTTTAAGTCACCGGTCCAGGACTCGTACCACGGTTGACTACATGGGAGTCCAGCGACATACCATTATGCCAACTGCTGGCCTCCCAAGGCTCTGTTAATTTTTCTTTATTCCTTTTTTTTTTTTTTTTTTTTTCTGTTCCGTAGACTAGATCATTTTATTTTTTCTCTTTTTTAAAAGAATTATTTTATTTAAATTTATTTATTATTACTAATATTATTTTCTAGTTTTATCATAGAGAAACAGAGAAAGAGAGAGAGGGAAAGTGAGAAAGCAAGCCCCCAGGTCTGGGACTTGAACTTCAGTTGACCATGTGGGAGTGCAGTGCCTTTAACCACCATGCCACCTATGGCCCCATGATTTATTCTGTCTTTAAGTTTAATTGTTCTTCTTATGTCTCACAAGATATATTTAGCCCCTTTAGTGAAAATTTCATATCAGTTACAGTATTTATTTATTTAAAGAGATTTTTGTCTTAGGGTGCATGTGCTTACCGGAGAGAGATTAACAGAGACAGTGAGAGGGAAAGTGAGAACACTCCCCAGGGAGATGGCCATGTCGCATGCAATCCCTTCTCTTCCATTCTCCTTCTGGAATCTTGGGCATGCACACACCCATACCCGGCATGATTTTTAAGTCTCCAGGTCCAGGACTCAAACATGGGAATCCAGTGATGTAACTGCTAGCCACCTGCTGGCCCCCAGTACTTTTTTTTAAAAGGCATTATTTATTTAATCTTATTTATTATTATTATTTTTTAATTTGACCAGAGAGAGAGAGAGAAAGAGAGAGGGAGAAGGGGAGGGAGAAGGGTAAAGTAAGCCACCAGGTCCAGGACTCAAACCATAGTCAGCTATGTGGGAGTCCAGTGCCTTAACAACCATGCCACTTGCTGACTCCAAGTTACATACTTTTAAACTCCAGAGCTTGTTTAGCTCCTTTTTGTTTGTTTAAATACAGTTTCCTCTAGCTCTTTTAACAAATTTTAGATAGTTGATTACCTAGTAAAGCCAGTGTCTGGGCTTTCTCAGACATTGATAACTGAGATAATAATAATTGATCATTGATATTGATTACTTCTCTGTATATGGGCTATACTTCTTTTTATTTGTATGCCTCATATTTTTTTTCTTGAAAATTGAACATTTTGAATCTTACAGCAACTCTGGAAATCAGACTCTTTCC